TTGGGCTCTGAGATGGTGTAGAGCCTGCTTGGGGTTCTGTCTCTCCTTCTCTCTGCCCCTCCCCTGCTTGTGGGCTCTCTTTCTCTTTTTTTCTCTCTCTCTCTTTCTAAAAATAAATAAATAAACTCACAAAAATTAAAAAAAAAAAAGAACAAAACCCTGGACACTTAGGTGGCTCAGTAAGTTAAATGTCCAACTTGTGCTTAGGTGATGATCTTCTCTTTTGTGAATTTGAGTCCTGCATCAGGCTCCGTGCTGACAGCTTAGAGCCTGGAGTCTGCTTCAGATTCTAGGTCTTCCTAGCACTCTGCCCTTCCCTGCTCTCACACTCTGTCTCTCTCTCTCTGTCTCTCAAAAATAAACAAACATTTAAAACAATCCTCTCCCTCTGGCTTACAGGTGTCTAACTTAATCACACAATGATCAGAAAATATGTATAATATAAATTCTTTGAAAAATATTAAAAACTTCTTTGTTATGGTCACCTGTGTGGCTCAGTCACTTGAGCGTCTGACTCTTGATTTTGGCTTAGGCCATGATTCCAGAGTTATGGGATCGAGCCCCATATTGGGCTCTGTGCTGAACATGGAGCCTGATTAAGATTCTCTCTTTCTCTCTTTTTCTCTATCTCTCTCCCCTGCTTGCATTCTCTTTCTAAAAATAAAATAAAATAAATATTTTTAAAATCTTCTTTGTTCTATAGTCAAATTCACAAATGCTCCATGTTAACATGAAAATAAATTATAATGTTTATTGTGTTCAGGGCTCTACATATAGATATCAGATAAAGTGATAGACTTTTTTCTTCAAATATTCTTCTAATGTCTTAGAGTTACTTTTTGTCCATTTGATTTATTATTTTCTATTGTAAAAATGTTAAAAATCTCCTAATGTACATATGTAATGATCAGTTTCCCCCTTTCATATAATTTTAATCTTGTTCAGTATATACAAGATCATGACTGCTACATATCTTAGAAGATCATTCAGTTTATTGTTATATAGCGTTTCTCTTTTTCCCTATTTGTTATTTTTGCCATAAATTCCACTTTGTATAATATTAACACTGCTGCTCAATATTGTTTTGGAATTTGAACAATCTTTCTTTTTCTTTTCTTTTTTTTTTTTTTTTCTCCAGCTTTCATTTTCAAGCCTTTTGATACTGTTTTAGGTACATCTTTCTTGTTAGTCATTTCTGGTTGTATCTCTCTCTCTTTCTCTCATTCATTTAAATAGTTTCTGCCTTCAGTTGTTGGCTTTAATCCATTTGTAAGTAGTATGAATTATTATTATCCTTCTTTTATCTTTTTATGTTTTCTTTCAGAGTTTATTTTTTTATTTTTTTATCTTAAAACGTCAGGTGTTTACTATATAATTTAAGGAATTCACTTCATTTGGGTAGAAGCTCCATTTAAAATATTTTTTTTACAAGTAGTTTATTGTCAAGTTGGTTTCCACATAACACCCGGTGCTCATCCCCACAAGTGTCCTCCTCCATGCCCATCACCCCCTCTTTTATCTTTTTAAAATTTGCTTTTCCTTTGCTTTTTTGTTTTTCTATGTGCTTTTAGATTGATAAAGTTTTACCACTATTTTTTCCTCTGCCTGTAGTATGCATTTCTATCCTTTAAATGATTCTATGTATCCTTAAACAGTCAACAATAATATACTTTTTTAAAAAATTAACAAATCTAAACTTTTAATATTTTTTAACTCTTTCAATATTTTTATTCCCTTTCTGATCACGTAAAAAATTTGTCTATAAATCTCCTTCTTCTATCATTTTGTTATTCTTTTGAACTTTACTTTCACTATTTTATAAACAAAAAAAGTATTACTTTCACTGTCAATACTTCACTATATTTAGTAACATATTTCATTAATTTCTGTATACTTGATTAATTTTTCCATTTGTTTTTTTGTCAAAATATAACTGACTATAAGTTCTGCCAGTGAGGATTAGCTGGTGGCAAGATTTTCAGCCCTTTCATTTCTGAAATTTATACTGTATTTTGACTGAGAGCTGAATATAAATTTTCTTAGTACTTTGAAGATATGACTCCAATATTTCTTGGTTTCTATTGCTACTGATATAAAGTTTAAGGCACAACTTTGGTCTAATTGTTAGTCTTTCATAAGTAATCTATTTTATCTTCTCTGGTAACTTTAAAGAGTTTTCTTTTATTGATGACATTACACAGTTTCAGGATGATAAAGATATATCTTTATCCTGCTAGACACCCAAAGTGCACTTTTGATTTGAATCTCATGTTCTCCTTTAATTCTGGAAAATTCCGAGCTACTATCTTTCAGTAAATGGCTTCTCCATCACTCCTTCAAGTTTTCCTTTTGCTGGTACTCAAATTAGAGATGCGTGTTGCAACCTCTCATTTAATCCTCTATGCCTGTGACTATTCTTCTCTTTTAAATTTTGTATTTCTTTGTTTCCTCTTACTAAATCTGGGTGAATTTGTCAGTAATATATTCTAATTTACTAATGATTTCTTAACCTGTGTGCAAAGAATTTATCCTGCCTATTGAGTTTCTTATTTGATTCAGTAATATATTTTCAGGTCCAAGATTTTCAGAAGATCCTTTTGCATTCCTACATGTGGTGGTTTGCAAAACGGCCTCAAATTCATTCCATTCCTACATGCATGTCCCTTTGAAATGTGACTTTGATGTTCTCCTCATCAAAAAGTGAAGTCTCTTTCTCCATCCTTGAATCTAGGATTAGATCTGTGGCTCTCTTTGGCCAGGGGACATTGGCAAATATGATTTAAACAAGGGCTTGAGAAGAGCTTGTACAGTGGAACTTGTCCTTTTTTCTGGCTGCGGGAAAATGCCATCACCATGTGCACAAGCCTGGACTGGCCTCCTAGAAGATGAGAAAGCACAAAAAGAGGCCACCTAGCTGTCCCAGTGATCCCAGCGGAGGCCCCAAATGTGCAAATGAGGCCACCCTGGACCACGCAGCTCCAGCTAAGCCAGTTCAGATCAGAACTGTCTAGTCAACACAAAACTGTAAGATATAATACAGATTTGTTTTTTTGAGCCACTGAGTTTTGGGGTGGTTTATGATGAAACCAAAGGTAATTGATACTGACTCTATCATGTTCAATCTCTCCCTGTTATGTGTCACAACTTCTGCTCATTGTAAATGTATTTAATTTCTTTTTAGTATCTTTAATCATCCTAAGTGAGTTCTTATCAGATTGCTTCAAAAAATTGTTTTTTTCATGAGTTAAGTATTGATTTTGTTGATTGTCTCGTTTCTACACATATTCTGGAAAGTTTGCAGACTTGTTTTGCATGGAAGGATTTCTGTTTTGTTTGTTTCAATCTCTCTTGCACCCAGCTGAGAAGTTTTGTGGATGCTTTCACCCAGGACCCTGCACCCTCGGTCCTTCACCAGTTTATGGTGATAATGAGAGTATTATTACAGAATCAGTAGCAGAGCCTGGATAAGTTCCTAGTTCGGGGGCTGGGGTCTAAGGATCTGCCTTCCCTGGCCCCATAGCTTCTGAGTCAGACCCTGTCTTCAGGGAGTTAGCCTGCCACGATCATCTTGTGCATAGATGCTCAGTCCCTGTGCCCCAAAGGAGTTAGGCTTTTCTGCTGCTGCCTAATTTGGACCCAGAGCCCCACGACCCCATGGCTTCACCCCCTCTCCCTGCTCTGCAGTGACCCATAAAGATACTTTTTTCTTGTTTTTGAGTTTGGCTGCATCTTATCATGTTTGTTTTTACACTTTGTCTTTTATTGCTTTGTGTTTAGAGAACAGGAAATGTATGAGAATACAAAATTAAGGAAAGCCAAATTGACAGGCTATCAATTTCCTATAATTTTCTCCCTAAAAATTAAAATATATGGGGCGCCTAGGTGGCTCAGTCGGTTAAGTGTCCGACTTCGGCTCAGGTCATGATCTCACGGTTCGTGGGTTCAAACCCCACGTCGGGCTCTGTGCTGACAGCTCAGAGCCTGGAGCCTGCTTCAGATTCTGTGCCTCCCTCTCTCTCTGACCCTCCCCCTGCCCACACTGTCTCTCTCTCTCTCTCTCTTTCTCTCTCTTTCTCAGAAATAAATAAAACATTAAAATTTTTAATAAAACATAAAATATAAACGCCTTGGGCTGCCATTCAACATTTTTTTGCATTTCAGATCCACTCCACTTCCACTTCCAGGCATCCTGCACTCCATTGACATTGACGGTTACTTGCTGTTCCCTGAACATTCATGCTCCTGTGTCTTCACACCTCTGTTCCTTCTGTCAGCATGGCTCTCCTGCCACACGTTTAACGTTAAGACCTTGATCAAAACTCATTTCAACTGGGAAGCTGGCTCCAGATCCTACAGGCTCAGTTATTTCTATTTCTTCTCTGCACAATGCACTTAATACATATAAAAGGAATGAATGAATGAATCATTTGAGGTGCAAGACTGAGTGAGCACACAGGATATGGGACTTATTGCCATAGTGCTACCTCTGCGGTCAATTGTTGTTTATCTAAGTGTCTGGTCTGAGCAACTGTAATGTAAGGGGAAAGCAGTGGACACAGTTTTTCCGTGAAGGTTGTCTTGTATCACAGCCATTAAGCTAATTCTGCATGAAGCCAGTTAAGACAGCCTAATATACTTTTGTAAAAGTGTGGCCTTTACAACTATTAAGGCAAGACGATTAGGGACAAACTGCATCATTTCCTTCCTCAACTTCACAGCATTCTTTTAAAAAGAGAAGACATGTTAGCCTGGGCACTATTTTCTTTTTTCATTTCAGGAACATTAGAAATATGATGGAAAAAAGCTTAATTACTTCAAGATCTAGTATGTTTAAATGCTTTAACATCTATAAAAGCCCAATTGTATCTTTCTCTTCATTACGATTCTATCTCGGGAGAAGGGTTACGTGTTTTTGGTCCCTTTTTGACCATGAGAAGATAATTTATCAAGGAAAATGGCACCAAATGGCATGTTTTTTGAGCAAAAATATTTACTTAATTGTCCAAATTTTCTGGAATCCTTCAGGATACTATTTCTTCCTCAGGAACAGAATGAAGGCTCTGTGACACGGAAGAAACAAAAAAGGGTTTCAGTCTGGGTGCGGGATACTTGGGCTTTCTTTTCCTCCAGCTCAGTTGCATGGCTATGGCAAAAACAGAAATTCAACTGAGTAGCATTTTTGTTCTAAAAGTATCTAAAATTCATCTCAAATCCGTATCTCTTCTGGGGAGAGAAACTAAATCCATTCTAACAAGTAATTAAGCACACAAACAAAAAATCCCCTAAAACCACAGTCTCCTCTGGCGCCGTCTACACCCGCTTCCTGCCTGCACCTCCTCCCCCTGAGGGGCCGCCTACTCCTGCACGTGCCATCTCCCACCTGTCACAGAGGGCTTGCTTTGGGACACAGGGCTGTGTCACCCCAAAGCTGCATGTGGGAACCGTGGGTAAAAGAGCCGAGGAGGAGAAGCAATCGTCCCATGTTAACATTACAACTTTGTTCCTGATTCCACTAGTCATCCCAGCTTCCTGAAAACTCCAGATGAAACTTATGGGAGATTTCATCTCCCTGGTGATTCGGGGCGGGGGGGGGGGGAAGGGGAAGCCTAAAAATTTCTCCAAATCTCTATTTCCCAGCACATTCCTAATTCAGACTCAAGACTTTATTCGTTCAATTTCACTTAACAGAAAACCACTAACTACTTCCTCTGCTCTCTGCTGTATTTCCTACAGATATTAACTTTGAATCCATGATAAGCCCTCAGAAAGGATTTAGAGTTTAGATAGTTTAGAATTTTTTTCAAACATTTTATTTTTAAGTAACTTCTACATCCAACACTGGGATCAAACCCACCATGCCAAGACCAAGACTCACATGCTCCACTGATGGAGCCAGCTGGTGCCCCTAGACAATTTAGAATTCTGAATCAATTTCACCATCTACAGAAAGGATCCAAAGTTGTATGACCAATTATCTCACTATACTTGAGAGACTGTGGCCATGTCCTAGAGAAGGGGCAAACGGAGAAGGATGTGGGGATTTTTTTATATTTATTTATTTTTGAAGGAGAGAAAGACAGAGTGTGAGTGGAAGAGGAGCAGAGAGAGAGGGAGGCAAAGAACCTGAAGCAGGCTCCAGGCTCTGAGGTGTCAGCACAGAGCCCGACACAGGGCTCAAACCCATGGGACTCGAACCCACAAAGTCAAACGCTTAATCAACTGAGCCACCTAGGCATCCCATGGGGATTTTTTATTTACAGAAAATATATCTGGGGTTATCTTTTGGCTTATTCATTTTTTATGCTGAGTATCTATGAATTTTTGCAAAGGAGAACAAGATTCACAATAATGGTAAATCAAATCATTATACTGTACACCTTAAACTTACCCAGTGACGTATGTCAATTATATCTCAATAGAACTGGAAAAAATTAAAGGAGACTAAGAAATAGAGAAAGAAGTACTGCCGAAGGAAAACATATCAGTCATAGTTCTTAGACATGTAATTGTGGTACATTTAATTTCATTCATTTCAAGTCCTATATATGAGCACCTGCTAGGTGCTAGGCACTGCGTTAAGTTCTAGAGTAACACTGTCCAATAGAAATATAATGTAAGCTATACATGTAATTTAAAAGTTGCTAGTAGCCACGTAAAACCATCACAAGGACATAGGTGAATGTGGGGCTGGTCCGACCAGCCTTCAATTTAACCCTACCGCTCCCACTCTCTGTCCGTGAACTTCAGCCTCACAGGGACACTGAAGTCCTCCTACAAGCCCGTCTTTCCCCTCGGGCCTTCCACTAGCTCATGCCTCAGCCTGGTGGCTCCTCCCCTGTCTCTGCTACGAATCCTTGTCATCTGGTAGAATAATGCAGTGATGGCTGATAGGAGCCAGGTGTGTAGTCAGGATGCAGGGCGTTTGCGCTTGATGAAGGAGGGAACAGTACTTTCATCCAGTCATAAAGAATGGAATCCAAATGGTGGAATTTTGGACTCCATGACAACAGGACTTTCATCCGGGAATGTGTAGATTGTTCTCACCATGGAACTCAGAGCCAACAGGGTGGGTGACACCATAAACCCATTCTGCCCTCTATCCACTAAGCCATGCACCCTGGCATGGAGCCTCATCTTACCGAAGGAAAGAATGGGCTTTCTAACTTTTAACAAAGCCACTGTATTGGACAGTGCCAGCTCTGTGCTGCAGGGCACTTTTGGGTGAAGGAAGAGCCCTCATCAGTCCCTCTTAAAATATATCTTGCGAGTGACTCCCTATGTTGACTTTAAGTTCTATGTAGTCTAGGATACACAAACAAAATAGAAGTTTTTATATTTGTGATAAATCTTACATCTTGGCTATAAGATTCTCATGGGGAGAAACAGAAAAAGAACAGAAATATCAATCATTTCACTAAATCTTATTTTGGGCCCAACATGAATCATCTGCCCTCAAGACTCCGGTTCCCTGGCATTCAGATGGAGTTTTCCATGACAGCAGGAGACAGGGGCTTCTGTTTCATACGCTCTCAGGAATGAGCCTTACTAAGAATTAGGGGAGAAGAGTCACATCCAAATGTAAGGGTCCTTCTGGAGAAAAGTCTGAGAGCATGGCTATTGTAGATCACTCTTCTGGTGATGTAAAACCACTCCAGAAATCCAAGCAATTCATTTTTAAAAATTCCTTCTCATTTAAGTTACATTAGAAAATTCCCAAAAATATCCCTTAACTTTCTCCCTCCCCTTCTTCCTCCTTCCCATATGCCAATAATCAACCATTAACAAAATGTTCTTAATGCATACTATGTCCCATTGGTGACAAAGGAAGACACAGCCAGTTTCTGGTCACATGGAGCTTAACACAAGTTTGTTTTCAAGTTGGTTTCTCCAAAAAGAACATTTTAGGTCTGAGGTGGTCTTTGGGAATTTGATGTTCACATTTCCCAAATCCTTGGTGGGGATTCTTCCATGTTCTGTGAACTTGAGAATGAGTTAGAAGTCACGGATTGTATGCTGAGGAAAACAGAGGGCCTCACCTTCCCCTCAAAGACATGAAGTTATGTCTTCACTGTATACTCTTACCATGTGGCAAGTACATTCAGATTTTCCAAACACCAAACCAAAGACACTGACCTCCAGGACAGGACTGCAGCTCCACACTTACCAAACTTTCTCTCATCCATGCCTTGGTTATTAAGCACACCATTTAGGTTTTCTTAACTTGCTCTCTCACTTCAAAGCTTGTATGCTATCTGTTTAAATATATATGCCTCACGTTTATTTACCATCACATATGTGCTGAGCATCTGTACTAATTTGCAATGGGTTTCTGTAAACAACAAAAGTGATAAAACGTCCCTGCCATTTTTGAACTCATGGGCCAGTGGGGAAGACAGAAATTAAGGCCATGATAAGTGCTGTAGAAAGAAAGCAAACCTAGCCACTAACTTTAACTGGTGAAACTGGGGAGGCTTCATGGAGGAGCTGATATTTGAATTGAATCTTAGAGAATGAGAAGGAGTTAGCCAGGTAGGGAAGTAAGGGAAGACAACTCTAGGGAGGGGGAATAGAGTGTGCAAAGTGCCAAGGAAGGTATATTCCATAGAGAGATAGACACCATTCCTCCAGCACAGCTCATTTCTATCTGAAAACCTGAGAATAAAGGGACCAGCTATCTGTACCTCTCTGCCACACCCAACATTCAATCCTACACACAGATGTGGGATAGCCTCTATAGATACTCCCACCCAGAAAGGGGGAAAACAGGAGGCAAATAGGAGTGCAAAGTTTAAAGTAACTCTGAAATGTGGCAAGGTACACATGTCCAGTCCCCTCATGAGAGATGAAGCCCTGGGAATTATTCTGTGGCTCTTGGCTCTGCCCTCCATCACATTCTTCCATTTCTGTAAAAGGTAGCCCATATTTGCTAATGAATTTTCTTGGCTGTATAGAAGTTTGGAGATCCAAAGACTTTTTGGGGAGGTACTTTTCTTAGTCTCTTTTAGTCCAAACTGGTGATGTTTCTGTTTATACAATTCTCTTTAAATCTGTGGGAGCTTCCTGTGAATCTTATTGTGGTTCATGCAGTTAGGGGGAGAAAAGAGGCCACATTCACTAATCTCTTCATGATAAACCATTCTGTACCTCGGGCTTTTGCTGAAGCAGCCAAGGGTCCTTAAAAGTTCTGTGTTTTTGTTTGCTTTTGGTTTTGACCAGTTTTCTAAGTTTAAACCTCTCCAGGGTCTTCACAAAGGACTTTATCACCACTATCTCAAGTTGATCTTTCCCGCGTGTTATTCTGACTATTCCCTGAATTGTATTTTTTGTCCAGAAGCTGTTCTTAGTTTAACATTGCTTTTCAGCTCGAAGTGGCAAGGGATAGTCAAACTGTGCAGATTCTGCTTCCTTTATATTTAACTTTTCTCCCCCTCGAGTGTATCCTTCTTCTGTCAGGTTGCAATACAGCAGCAAGAAGAAGCCCCGGGGGACCTTGAAAGCTGCCTGGAAATCTCAGCCAGGCCACCCAGTTCACGAGGTACCTTTTCTATTTTCCGCATCACTGCAGGCCAGAGTGTGGCTGAAATTCCTGCCACTGCAGGAGAAGGGTCCTCTTCTGTCTAGTTTCCAGTTACATTTGCCTCATTTGTCTTTAATCTTCAACAGCTTTCTCAAGTGACATCAGGCTGCTGTTAATAGTCTCTTGGAGATCTTTTAGATTCTTAGCAGTACTCTCCTCAAGTTCCTTCTAGTTTCTGTCTTCTGCTGTCCCAGAGCCGCTCTCATAGTTTTTATGTGTTTTATTTTTTTAATTACAGCAGTGTTTCACTTGTCTGTCACTTTCTGTACCCCTACTTTAAACCCCTTTGTCCCTTTATACCTCCAGCCATTGCTCATCAAGGCCGCTTCTGGTCCCCTTCCATGCAGGGGCGGGGCAGACAGTTTTTTTCCGGAACATCTGCCCCTTGGGGCCATCCTGGGAAAGAGTTCTGACATATCAGCCCAGAGATCAGTTCCTCAGAGGAGCTTCTCTTGGGAAGGTTCTGGAAGATGAAGTTAGTGGAAGACTTTATGTGATGTCATCCTCCAAAAACCAACCAACCAACCCTTTCCAGGATACCAAATGTTTCATTCATCTGGGGAAGAATATCATAATTATGTGGTGAACATTTTAAATGCTCTGAGAGCAAGATCCACAGAGTGAGATCCTTTTCCAACATTTTAGGAGAGAGAATGAAAAAAATGTGAGATTAAAGGTACGTTAGGCTAATGTGGGTTATGAGCTTTACTTTTATTTTTGAAGAGCATGAGCTGGCCGCAGAAGGAGTGCGCAGCCAAGTGGGAAAGGCTGCTGGCTGAGGCCTCCTGTGAACATGCCTGAGTTTCTTAAGCCTGCCAGCCCCGGTATCTCCATCTCTGAGGTGGAATTCTAATTACAGTTACCTCACAAGTTGATGTCAGAGGTAGAAGAGACATAATGTATGAGCAATAGCCAAGCGGAACATCTCGCAAATGATCAGTAAACCACTCTGAAACCACCCATGTGGAAAACCATGACTCCTTGTCATCCCTCTGAAGCCTCTGCTGGCCTTTCCTGAGATGTCTGGAACCAGGAATCTAGGCTCCCGCTCCTTGGGGGACAAGAGGAAGAGAAGCTTCCCTCTTGTCCTCTTGGGAATTAGATTCTCTCCCATACTATAAAATATCCCAAATTTAGGACTGTGGAATGTGGAAATCTCCAGGGACCACATTGAATCAGCTCCCAATGGACTATGTCAGAGAAGAAACAAGACCAGTTTAATTTAATTTAATTTCTGCCTCAAATCCACCCTTGACTTCATCTCTCTGGGTCTGTCTCCCGTCTGGGCTCCAATCTGCCTCGTCCGTGCTTCCCAGGAGAATCCTTCCATCCTTCCCTCCCGCAGCCCTGAGCAGGAGGCTCTCACTGCGGTGCCCCTGGGAAGAGCAGGGAAGTGGAAAAGGAGAGAATATGGGGGTGAAAGTGAGATCTGAGAAGGAGAAGGAATGTTCGGGAATGGAGAGCAATGATTGCAATTGCTGGGAACATGCCTGGGGGAGGAAAAATGGGGCTGGAGACAGCAAAAGCAGAGACATAAAGAAGGGGTTAGAGACACGCTTCTGGTGAGGAGGGGGTAATTACACTTGCTAGATTTCTGAGAGGCTTCCTTGCCTTGCCTTTCCCACACCTTCCTCTTTAGGTGATTCCACCTTTTTATTTTATCATATTTTTTAATGTTTATTTACTTCTGAGAGAGAGAGAACATGAACAGGGGAGAGGCAGAGAAAGAGGGAGACACAGAATCCGAAGCAGGCTCCAGGCTCTGAAATGTCAGCACAGAGCCTGCCACGGGGCTGGAACCCATAAGCCATGGGCTCATGACCTGAGCCGAAGTCGGACGCTTAACTGACTGAGCCACCCAGGTGCCCCTGATTCCACCTTTTTAGATGGTCTGTCTTCTTTGCTCCCTTCTGGCATAGCTTATGCCAGGTGGTATTTTGCCTCAGAGATGACAAAGCCTCCTAACCAGCTGGTCTTCACCCCACACCCTGCCCTCCAGTCTCCTCATCCCACAATCCAATGACCTTCCTTTCATCTGATCTTGTCCCTGACCCACCCCATGCTTCAAGCGCTTACCATGGCACCAGTTTGTCTCTGACGCTGGGAAAAGAGCAGCTTCAGGACAGAGACCCTTCCTTATTAGCATCTAGAACACCTTGTATGGTTGGATTCTGGAAGGTAGCACAGGAAGGGTTCCATTATGGTGACTGAGTGAACAGATGGATAGTGGAATGCCCACCTGGTGGCAAAGAAGAGATAGTCTGGAGGATCCAGAGAAGGAAAGAGATTTGGTGAGGAAGAAGAGTATGAAAAATCAATAAATGTGCGGGTAAAAGGAACACATTTATTTTTGTTGGGGGTGATGCGTTCTGTTTTGGGAGATTACCACATTCAAGGAGCACATTGAGTTCTTTCTGCTGTGTCTGAAGGACGAATAGGGGTGGGAAGGGGATGGGTCCCAGACCCTATAGCCAGCACCCCTCAGGAATCATCCGTCTCCCCATCCAAGGCCCACAGATGTGCAGCTTCCTTCCCTTGATACTAACTCTGTCCCTGCCCCTCCCTTCACAGCCCTCCCCTGCCCCCGACACCAGGGACAAGCTCCCCTAGGCTTCTCTCTTGCTTCCCCTGTTTTCTCCCTCTGCTTCCACCCTGCTTTCTTTCACATGCTCGCCTCTCCTCGCCCCAGCTACGCTGGTTCATCCGTGTTCCCATGTGCTAGGAGTTCCCGCTTCGTCCAAACCTTTGCAAAGGCATGCTGCCTCCACTTTTCAGCTTCCTCATGCTACCAAGGACTCCCAAGTTCTGTTAAAACAATCAGAATATTTATGGACCATCATTTTTCAAAGCCTCGGAGGCACTAAATTGTATCTGCCCCTGATACCACTTTGACTGAACTTTTCCAGTGTTGCAAGGCGGGCCCTGTAGCTGAAGATTAATGTATCTGCTGGTTGAGGGTCAATTACTCCTGGGGTTTTATCAGTGTAGGCAGGATGGAAAAGGAATGGAGAACCAGAGAGAGGGACCTTGTTACCCCTCCCCAGCTGCCTCCGATCCTCTCTCCTTTGGTGCAAACTCTGTCCACAGAGCCAGAACACCGCGGTTTATTTTTATCTGTTTATTTTGCAATTAACAAAGAGAAGGAGCCTCTTTTTGATGCGCTGGTTCAGGGGTTCAAAGCGTCTAGCTCCCTTGACCCCTTTACCAGCCTCCGACGTCGCAGTACGGCTGCCCAACTGGGAAAGATTTATACTTATTTTTATATAATGGAAAACTCATTGCTGGACATCGAGTTACTCACTTTGATTTGTTTTCTTTGGAAGAAGCGGCCGGCGGCGGCGGCAGCGCCCCAAGCTGGGTCATTAACATGGCAGCAACAGAAACAAAGACCTTTACAGCCGCTGCCTGTAAACCGTGGATAAAGTTCAAGCATTTATTCTGTTTGAGGCCTCCCAGTGTCTATAAAAGCCCAGCACGATTATATGATCAGTGTCAAGACCCACTTTCCCCTCTTTGTGCTCTGGGATGCATTTCCTTGCCCTGTCCCTCCGTGATGCCATGCAGCTGCTCTGGCTTTAATAGCAACCCAAGGCACACACTATTGGAGTGTTCCTTGGGCTTTGTTTTAAACATGGTTTTTGCTTGTGTTAACTACCGCCTGGCTCTCTGACACCCGTGAATGGGGCTATGCGGGGCTGTCAATCAACAACAATAATAATGCCATCTGGGTTTGAATAATACTAATGAGAAGAAGAAGAAGAGGGATACTGTGTATTAACATAGCACCTTTGTCCCAGAAGCTCAGAGGGCGTTCAGGATAATAATTCATTCATGCTCCGAGCACTGCTTGGCGGTAGATATTATGATCCCACCGCGGGGGACTGAGACACAGAGAGGGCAAGTGTCTGGCCCCAAGGTCACACAGTAAGTCAGAGATGGCATAAAACTTAGCTGCTGCAAGTCTCCCAAAGCATCCACCCCGCGGGATCACGCTGAACTCTAACTCTCTGTGCATCTGTTTTTAAAATCCAGCCATTACAAGAGCGATAGGACCTTGTTGTTCCATACCTCATGGGATAGAAAAAAAGAAATGAAAAGAATATTCTAGGATGGAGGAGAGTCCTCAAAGATCCTCAGTGTTAAGGTGAGCCTATCCAATTCAGGGGCAAAGGAAGAAAAAGATGGTGACGAGACACCAGTATATCACTCTTAGAAGTATCTGGAGTTTCTAAAGGGGCAGGGATGGTGGAAACAGGTGAAAACAGAATGGATAAAGAAAATGGAAGGTCTCCCATGGAGGCGGGGAAAGCGAGCTAATCACAGAGCCAGAAAGCTCATGGAAGCCCAAATACGGAGCAGCAGCCATCCAGAAAGAATCCTGCTGAAGACACCATGAATTTCTGTTTAGTCTCAAGCCCCATCCTGCATTTTGCTGGGACCCCAGGTCTCTCTTCTCAACCCCTTTGGTCCACAGAGGGTTTCAAACCTGATTGTTGCTTCAAATCAGTAGAATCTTCCCTAACTTCCCTGTGCCTCAGTTTCTACCCCTGTAAAACTGCTTAATAACATTATCTATCGGGTTACTTAGCACACTGCAGCAGCTTCCGAATTGATTTCTCCAACTCCAAACCCTCCCTGATATCTATCATTGGGTTGTTGTGGGGGTTACATAACCTAATATATAAAATGCTGAGAATAGTACATGACACAAAGTACTATGACACCTCATACTGGTTAGCTATTATTATCATAAGTAGTAATAGATTGCCATCATCATCATAATCATCATCATTATCATCATCTTCGTCGTCATCATCATCATCATCATCATCCTCCTCCTCCTCCTCTGGTTTGCTGGCCACCTACTCCTGGACAGATAAGAAATAAAACGAGCACCGTGAAGGAAGAGTTCAGTCATATAAAGACATATAAGTAAGCCACCCAGGCTCATCCCCTTTTCTCTGCTTGTGTTGCTTTTAGGAACTGCCCCCTGCAGACTAGCACTGTGTTATTCTCACTTGCTGCATGCGTCAATTCTGTCTCCTCCAATAGACTCAAAACAAATGCACAGTAGACATCCAGATGGCCAACAGACACACTGAAAGATGCTCAACATCACTGATCATCAGAGACACACAAATCAAAACCACAATGGGATATCACCTCACACCAGTCAGAATGGCTAGCATCAAAAATGGCTAGCAAGAAATGACAAGTGTCAGGGAAGGTGTGGAAAAAAGGGAACCCGTGTGTTCTGCTGGTGGGAATGCAAATTGGAGCAGCTACTGTGGAAAACAGGATGGCCGGCCCTCCAAAAATTAAAAATAGAAATTCAGTGATTTCCACTCTTGACTATTTACCCAAAGGAAACGAAAATACTAACTTGAAAAGATACATACACCCCAATGTTCATTGCAGCTTTATTTAAAACAGCCAAAATATGGGGCACCTGGGTGGCCCAATTGGTTGAGTGTCCGACTTCAGCTTAGGTCATGATCTCACGGTTTGTGAGTCAAACCCCATATTGGGTTTGCTGCTGTCAGTGCAGAGCCCACTTTGGATCATCTGTCCCCCTCTGTCTACCCCTCCCCTGCTGGCACTTTCTTTCAAAAATGAATAAACATTTTAAGAAAGAAAGAAAGAAAATAGTCAAAATATGAAAGCAACCTAAATGCCCGTCGAAAGATGAATGGGTAGAGAAGGCATGGTATGTATATATACAATAAATATTACTCAGTCACAAAAATGAATAAGATCTTGCCATTTGTGACAACATGGATGGATCTTGAGGGTATAATGCTCAGTTAAGTAAGTCAGAGAAGGACAAATACCATATGATTTTACTTACATGTGGAATTTTTTTAAGTACAAAGAAACAAACAATAAAACAGAAAGAGACCCATAAATACAGAGAACTCATGGTTGCCAGAGGAGAGGGTGGTGGGGTGATGGGCAAAATGAGTGAAAAGAAGTGGGAAGTACAGGTTTCCAGTTATGGAATAAATAAGTCATGGTATAAAAGGGAGGGAAATAGAAAAAGCGAACAGATGCCCATTAACACATCTAATTCTGCTCTATTTTACTCTGCACCCAGTACTCCACTTGACAAGCTACCTTTGAAGATACATGTTACCTTTCCACGTTCTAAAACATCTACCATGTGCCAGCCTCTGAGCTGAGGAACTCTGACATATACTAGGGAAGGCTCTTGCCTCAGGAGATACATATACTTCCTTGGGAGAAGAGATAAGCCATATGGCAATAATTTGTAAATCTTAGCATGCCTCAGAATCACTTGGAGGTCTTGTTAAAACAGGCTGCAGCTAAAATGATTCTGAATGCCCACCAAAATTTTACTTCTATTCTTTTTCAGTGGAGCTATGTCACATTTGTAAGAAGAAAAATAACGTGATCAAAGCATTGTCCCAGGAAATTAACCTTGCAATACTGTGGAGGTAGGTAAGACCAGGGAGAGACTGAAGTTGGAGAAATCAATTTGGAAGAAGTTGTAATATGCCAGGAAAGAAAGAAAAATGTCGAACTCAATAATTAATTGACTTTTGGGTTTTGAAGTTTTCCTAAACCTCTAGTCCAAGGATTATATCCCTGGTTCCCTCTCTCTTGCAGAGAGAGCCTCTAAATACTTGAGCTGACACCTTCTGCCCTATAAGTTTGTTATTTATGGTATCGTCTGTCTTTTGTCTTTGTCCCTGACCCAGTTTAGAGACACTCTATCATTGGGACTGAATCTCAGGCACTCTCCAGTTTCCAAGGCAAGCATTCTCTGGCAATAAACAAACAGATTTGCAATTCCTCCCCAGACCTTCAAGGCAGAAAGCCCCGCTTTCCCATCTCTGCAGACTGGAGGTAAAGCTCCCTCTTCACCATCCCTCACCACGTGTAAGGATTTTGACCTTGCATTTGATCTTTGGCTCATGCCTTCTCCTTTTCTATAGACGTGGAGCTGCTAGAGGACATAGCTCCTATCTGCCCCCATGTTTCGGTCTCTTTTGGTGTAGTGCCCCACACAGTGTAGGGGCTTGAGAAATCTTTATTGAAGAAAAAAAAGGAAACATTTTATGAAAAGCATCTGCCATTTTTCATGTATTCAAATATATAATGCCACATCACAC